CATGGTGGCTAGAAACTGCCCTTAACTCCAGTTCCAGGGAAATCTGAAGCCCTCTTCTAACTTCCGTGGCATTGCACAACATGGGTGAATTCACATACATGCAGGCAATACACTCATACACATAAAATAAAAATAATAAATAAAAAATACTTTAACTATCATTTACCTGAGTAGCATTTTGCACCACTGGACTCCTTCAGTGAGTTTTCATAAACCATTCCTGTTCTCACCTTTTTCTAGGTCAGACGCAATTTATTCAGCTCTTTATGATGGAACAAACATGATAGAGATAATACGAGGCCATGAATACCTGTCACATCCCTTTGCTGTGTCTTTATATGGGAGTGAGGTGTACTGGACAGACTGGAGGACTAATACGCTGTCCAAAGCCAACAAGTGGACAGGGCAGAATGTAAGTGTGATTCAGAAGACCAGTGCACAGCCATTCGACTTGCAAATATACCATCCCAGTCGACAGCCACAAGGTAGGCACTTGTGACATGCTAACAATACAGAAAGCATTTTCATGTGAACCGTGTACATGGAGACTGTAAAATAAATTTTGTCAGTTAATTCACAAGTTGATTTATGCTATATTGGAAGTTTTAGTCACTGACATAGCATTGACAAGATAGTGTGGGAAGCTGTATAAGATCTTTGAATTTGGAGTTGAAGAGATGGCCCCCTGGTTAAGAGCGTGCACTGCTCTTGCAGGGTATTAGAGTTTCATTCCCAGCACCTGTGTTGGGTCACTAATGATAGCCTGTAACCCTAGCTCCAGAGAGTCAGACATCCTCTTCTGGCCTCTGCAAGCACTGCACTCAAATGTACATACCTACACACAAACATGCACACATATACATAATTAAAATAAAGTATTTGTTTGATTTTTTTAAAAAAAGATCTTTGAATTTGTAACCTATCACCTAAATATTACCAGTAAATAAAAAGCAGCAAAAAAAATCCCCAAACAAACAACGACAACAGAAAACCACCAAGCACCTTGTGTCATCATTCTGTACGCAGAGGTTGGTGCAATGCATTACATGGAAAAGGATGAGACATAGGCTGGTAGCACCATTCCTGGGCAGGATGGCCACAGTGGTGGTTCTCTCCCAATGTTTCATTCAGTATCAGTAACCCTTTGGGCTCCTCTCCTTAATCCTTGTAAGCATTCTTATCCCAAGCCTCTCACCTTTTTGTTTCTTGAATACCATGGCCATTTGATATAACATGAAGTAACAGCTTGTCCTGTTAAACATTTCCCCTTATGTGAACGACAACCAACTAGAGTTTAAGTCTAGTGACTTTTTGGTATTATTTTAAGTTTTATGTGCACAATTTTCAGATGACACATTCCCTCCTTAAGAGGAACCAACTTTCAGTGAGAGACTGTCTAAGTCGCCAGAACTTGTACTCTTCTGGGGCACACTTCAGGCTTAATTTTGAATTCACCTTATATTGTCTTCTGGTCCAAATAAAACTGTAATTTCTGTGGCTGACAAAAATCTCATGTCTTCCCTTTCGTCAATGCTCAGCCGTCATTCTCCTTGAATACTATTTTTTTCTACCAAAATTTTCTCTGTGTAGAATTATTTGTGCCCTCTCCCCGTATTCTGTCTGATTCTAGTCCTCTTTCTCATTATTTAAATTTCTCATGTTCAATGTTCTTACAGAGCTAAGCTTCTTTCCCATGTTGGGATTTCCATCTATCCTGGCTCTGTAATCAAGTCTCTTAATCCTTTCTAGTTACATTTGACTGTGTTCACTCCACAGCCTGCACAGTACTGATGCCTTAGAGAAAGTACAGGGCCTAATTGTTTTGTATTTAAAAACATCTAATAATAAAATAGATTTAACTAAATTCAAATAAGCAAGAAATTGTGATTTGGACCAGCAATGTATCATGGGTATATGCCAAAATCAAGTGAAATGAGAACCTCCTACTGTTTCCTCAATGAAATTTAGTTTATTTTGAGCAATCATAAAGCAGTTTACTGCCCCTCCCCCCCACTTGTGTGCGTCATGGAATATCCGGCAATCATTTTCCATCCTGTTCATGTCTTCAGTGAAGCAACTCTTCACTACTAGGGGGAAGAAGATGCAGGACATAGCCACGACTTTATTATTGTCAGAGAGACAATTACAATGAAGATGGTGCCAAAAGTTCAGCATTATCTACAAGAGAATAATAGCCCCCCTCGCCGGCTGAATAGCAGTGTGACTTTCATGACAGGAATAATGCATTTTAAAGTATATGACATGTACAGCTCTCACAAATTAAAGAAACAAAGATTACAAATATTCTGAATTTAATGTTTATAAGTCAGGAATGGATTAAATGTGTTAATGTCAATTTCCTTAAAAACATGTATTCATCATATTCAAAAATATCCAATTTAGATTTTATGCTTAGCAGAAGTTTAGAAAATACGTTTTCATTCCTTTTGGATCCTAGTGCCTAGGGCTATTGTCATGTAAGAGCAGAAGAAACAATCCAAACTCAGCTGAACAGGTGGACACAGGCTTGTGAGCTTCTCATATGGAAGGCTGAGATAGGAGGAGCAGGAGTTTGAGGCCAGTTTGAGGCTGTATAGGGAGACCACAAAGTTGAGACATATGCAACATGAGCTATGAGACATATGAAACATGAAAAAGCAATGGTGGGTATTATAAATATGAATGTATAAAAGATATTGTTGTGTGAAGGAGACATGCCTAGAGTTAATGAAATAATGGGGTCTCAAATCCTGACTTCCAGTGTTTAATAGTATAAGAATTAATAGTATAACATTTCCTTATCTATTAGCATGTTATTTAAACTCTCTGTACCAGTCTTTTTATTTTTAAGCTGTAGATGATATTGTCTACATCAAGGAAGTTGGTAAATATTTTAGTAGTTAATCAAAATAAAAATATGAGTTAACACAGGAAATGTTTTAGAATAGTGGTTACATGTGAATATGTACAGTGTACATAAAGTATATACATATATATATGTAATCTATATGTCATACACACACGCACACGGAGAGGAAGAGACCACATTTCTTGATATTAGTGTATGTAATTATGAAAGCTGAATTGTCTCACAACCTGCTTGCCAGTCAGCCAGAAAGGCTAATGGTGCAATTCAGATATAATTCAAAGGTCCAAAAACTGTGAGTAGTAAGAAAATAATCACATAAATTCCTATTTCAATCCAGGCATTCGCATGCCCCTGTACATGAAACGTCATTGGTCAGCGACAGGAGAAGGGATTATGCCAGCTCAGATGGGGCACCAGATCATCCCTTCTTATACTTTCAGTGGTCCTGAAGGGATAGAATGATGCCTCTGGCGCTGCTGAAGCAGGGCCTTCTGTAGCTCAGTGTACTGATTTAAATGCAAATGTTTAAAGAAATATGCTCCCAAATATTCTTTTCCAGATATCTAGGCTTTCCTTAGCCCAGTCAAGTTGATACATAAAACTAACTATCACAAGTTACCAAAGCAGATGAAGGGCTGGCTGATGAGCAAACCTTAAGAAAGTGCTAGGGACAGAGAGCATGGCACAGCTGAGATGAGAAACGTGCAAAACAAACTCAGAAAAGAACAGTGATAGGAAGTTGTGGCTGGGAAAGCTGGGAAGCCAAGAAACTGTTTAGGTGAGCACGGCTGATAGTTTCTGCAGTTGGCAACATGCGAACGTGTGTAATGGGCCACGGGCACTATGACTGATGGTTGAAATAGGTGTCAGTAATCTGATTCTGTTAAGGCCAGATGTAAGTATTTTGTGCTTTGAGGGTCACATAGTCTCTGCTACAGAGATCTGCTGACCGTGGTTCCAATGAGTCTTAATTTCTCGATGCTTGAATTAAGTTTTAATATAATTTCCACAATCATGACATGTTATTGTTCATCTTTAAAAGCCATTTTAAAACCATTTTTCAGCTTGCAGTCAGCCTGTAGTCTAGAGTGTGCTGAAACATAGTTTAGTGGAGAAACTGGAAAAGTTAAACTTTAAATGTGCAGTCAGATGCTTCTGCAATGAAGTTAGTATGTTGAACAAGAAAAGTCAAGAAGAGTTTGGGCTAGAGCTAGAGTGTTCCTCAGTATACTATAAGTTGAACACTAGAAGATGGATGAAATTTCTTCAGAATATTTCAGAAAGTAGGAAGAAGGCCATGACAGAGCCTTGAAGAATACCAACATTGAAGAGGAACGCAGAGAGGAGCCGGGGAAAAGGGGGCCAAGACAGGGCTGAGCCCACAGAAAGTGTGGCTGGGTGAAGGTTAGAACAGGGCGCTGACTAGAGGCATCAATTCTTGCAGAAATGTGAGATAACAGTACACAAAGCCATAAATATACTTACTGCGTTTGGCTGCTTGGAGAAAATCAGCAAACTTTTAGAGAGAGCAATGTCAGTTGACTTGTTTGCTTCTGTCCTCTTGATTCTAAAGATGTCGTAGATTATATATTGTGTTACCCTTCAATATTTTAGATATAAAATAAAGCTATTGAATAATAGGACTATATCATCAGGCAATTGAAGAAAATTGAAAAAGATAAGCTTTATAGCAGGTAGCCAAAGAAAAGCAGTGATCAAGACAAAGCCTAGAGAAGCGGTGCTTGGGTCAAATACCAACTTTGTCATATTGTAAATTCATGATCTTTGTCTACCATACATTTTTCCCTCATAAAATGGAATTGGTCTATAAAATAAATGTATTTGTCTCTTTTGTCACTTTTTAGCAGTTAGAAGATGCTTATTAAATATTCACTGTCCTGTGTTTAAGTAAACAAAGATAAATAGAAGATAAATTATAAATAAATGGATAGATGATAGATGTTTGAACAATAGATAGATGATAGCTAGAGAACTCTCTAGATAGGTAGCTATCTAGATGATAGATATAGACAGATAGATAGATAGATAGATAGATAGATAGATAGATAGATAGATAGATAGATAAATGGATGATATATCAGATAGAGTTATTTGCTATGATTTGGAATCCTTTCTTAAAATAACTTATGAACATAATACTTTAAAAAATACATCATTACAATGCTTGCTTGTTATTGTTGTTCAACTTCAGCAATTTCCAGACCTACTTTCTTGAACATGCGTTTCTTCTGTCTGGTCAAAACTTGGGTCAAAAAGTGCTAAATATTTGTTGATAAAGACAGTACATTTGTAAGGAATACTTTGTCTAAAATGCTGGTTACTGTCACAATTGTTCCTCTTTATTTTGATCTTTATTTGGTGAATTTGATAATGGTTTTAAATGATATCAATATAAGATTGCTCTCAGAGAAACATCAAAAGCCAGATAATGGGGGTAATACCGAGGGCTTTGCCCACAGATGCAAAGCCTGTCTTATGAAATGGATAATGAGCATCATACTTTACAGTAGTACCCTTTCCCTGTTTTGTAGGGGTACAGGCATTATTCAATGGATACATCTGTGAATCTCAGTGAATTGACTTATTTGGAAAGGC